ATAAATATGTATGGTTATGATTGGGGGAAATTTTTTATCTTTAAATGAAATACTCCTCACTACATATACTGAGTTTTCTTTTTTTTTTCTTTTCTTATAGTAAATACCCTGTATATAAATGATTGCAAATGGAATGTGAAAATTGAATAAAATATTTTATTAAAAAAAAAAAAAAGAAAACTCAGTATATGTAGTGAGGAGTATTTCATTTAAAGATAAAAAATTTCCCCCAATCATAACCATACATATTTATCATTTTTCCTTGATTTTGTAACTTTTCCTTCATCAAATAAATTAACTCCTAAGTCACTCAACTTCATTTCTTTCGTATAGCTATCACATTTCATTTGTTGAAGTGTTTTGTCTAAAGATGGCTGAAGTTTTTGTCTAAATATTTTCTCCATATCTTGTAACAGAACATGCAAATTATCAGCTTATTTTTCTTTCTTCAAAATAGTTCACATGATAAACATGACATCAACATCCTTCTCTTCTTGGAAAAAACCAAACTATTTTTGTATATCCTGAAATGTATTGTGAAAAAAAAAATCTGAGACCCGACTTTCTTTCAAGCTCAGATTTTCTATAGGGCTTGAAATATTTTCAATACATGTAATAAATCACAAATGAGACCAAGGTCTGAGATAATTCATTGAGAAACAACTTATATGAACATGATCTTATTTCTATTAGAACTGAAAAGCTGGTCATTTTCCTAGCAGAGTGTGTAGATTTCAAATACCAAGGAAAAAAGGAAAGAATACTTAAAAACCCAATAGATATACATCTATTAAGCATTCAGATTTCATTTTCCTGCAAGTAGCATATGAACATTATTTACTTATGTGTATCCTACCTTTATTATTTTTACAAATAACTCAAGGTGCTGGCTAACGTAAGTAACACACCTTCCTCCTCCCATTTTCCCAACAGCTTTGAGAGCGATGGCCCAAGGTGACTCAGACAGCTTTCACAGAAATCATCCATGCTCTAATCATTATTTATTATTTATTAAATATTGCTGCAGCTACCTTTGCCAGCTTAAAAATTATAAAAGGGTAAACATACAAAGCTATTAAAATTAAGAAAGATTAAATAAAGACTAAAAACTAAGAGGACAGGAAAATTGAAGATGGGGATCTTCTTTCTACAGCCATCCCCAGCATTAAGCACCCTTATCCTCCAAGCCAACTGGCAGAACTGGGTGTTGAGGCTCTTCCAGAAGGTCAGGAATGTGGGACCAACTTCACTTCCTGCAGGAGAATATTCCAAAGGGTGGCACTACAGCAGAAAAAGCTCTTCTCCTGGATCCCAACAGCCAAAATTCTTTGGCAGATGGGATCTGAAGGAGGTCTGCACCAAAATCTGTGATTGTTGCAAATCTAGAATCTGCTGCAAGCATCATATATATAAATCTACCTATAGCTACATCCTACATTCATTGAATTTTAACCGGCTCACTGAACCAACAGGCTTATCATAGATTTTCAAAAATATGTTATTAATATCTTAAGCATTTTCAAGGAAAAAACTACATACAGTTATGTAAGGGGTCCTTGGTGTTCCCTGAGCTTGGTTGTTTTCTTGCAGACGTTTCATTACCCAAATTAGGTAACATCATCAGTATCCCATATGTCAACCTTAAGCTACAAATATTCTATTTTATTGAAACTGTTAAGTGCTTCAGGAATAACTTGTATTTTTTCTTGCTAAAGAAAACATTCACATTTGTAACAATAAATCTATATAGTAAATTAGAAATACAAGCCATGCATAAATCAGTTATAAATATAAATAATAAATAGAAGAAAACTGCATAAATAATTCTGGTAATAACTGCTGCAAAGGTGAATAGAAAAGCAAAAGATAATGAATTATTTGTCATTTGTAGGTAGAAGATTTATGGAAGCTACCAGACTGCTTAGCTAATTAAGAATTCAAACAGTGCTAAGAGCAATAAATTATCAGTGGATCAAAAAAAAAGAATTCAACGTGTGTGTGTTTCCCAAAATAAGGAAAAAAAGTCTTTAATGAACGCATTGTTTCTGTGTGCAATTAGAGAGGCAAAGTCTATACTTTGCAGCCTCAAGGTCTTGCCTAATCCTGTCGAAACCTCATTGTAGTCTTAGATGTTCTCAGCAGACCCACAAGTCTCTTTAGAAATAAGGGTGGAGAAAATAAGAGACAAGCCTTTCTTTGAAATGGTATCACAGCAGTACACACATACACACCCCATCATCATCCAGCATCTGTCCTGTTTTGCATAGAACATTATTTGGATTTTCCCACTGCAAATGCACCAAATCTACGTGCACTTTGGTGTTTGTAGTCTATAAAAATTCAAGGCTCACACGCAGAAGACTCGGGTCCACTCTTCCCTACTGCCAATTGACAAGCTACGTTGGTCTGCTTCCTTACTCTAACAGCAATGTAATATAGCAAGGCAATAAATATGAGAGTTTATCGGAAGAAAATAAAGGTTCTGCCCTACTCACTTATGCTGGGGTGGAATCAACTGGCTCTGAATGGTTACACATGGTTCTTATCATGGAGGTGTAGAAAGTATCTTTAGCCAGGAATGCATTTTCAGCTTCACTCGGTCTGTTAACTACCTTATCTAGAGAGAGCGGGAACTTTCATTAGAAATACATACCTTTGTTACATTTAATCTTAATTATCATTACACAATTTATGTGAGATGGACTTGTGGAAGTAAGTCTTGTAGTTAACAACTGGTACAAAATGAAGAGAATTTGTTTCAAAGTAGGTCAAAAATACTTCCCTGGTGTATAAGCCTAACTACACTTAAAGATAAACAGTTGCTGGACTTTTGTGTATAGTTTATGTCCAGGTTTCAGAGATCAAACCGTTTATAGTAGTCTTACATCTTTAGAAATACCTTCTCTGGGATGGAGGCATGTTACCCTTCAGGGGGTTCTTAAAACTTGTTTGTTGTAGTCTGTGTATAGTCACAATCAACTGAGGTTTTATCCTGTTACTAGTTTATGAGTTATATTTTGCCTGTATTATACCTTATACATTGAATGCTATCATTATTCTGTCTATATGAAGCATGCTATAAATCTTTTAAACTAATAGAAATGCATATGATATGGATGTATGGATGTGCTCCCAACCAGGCACCTGCCTATTTCAAAAAGCTTTAAAAGATGGATATAATGTTCTAATATATTGGCTATAATTTTTGTAGGTTTAGGTGTTTGGTTTAATCTGAAAGTGAGGAAAGTTGCTTTATATGAATGATTAGAATTAGGCAAATAGAATACGTTTACTCCTCACTACTTGGGTTGAAAGTACTCAACGGATAAGAATAAAACATGATTATTTAAACTGTGGCATCTAATGTTGTTTTTGTTATTATAAATGAAGGCTGTTTTTATGAACCATTATAGGAAGAAAGAACGGTTTTAACCAAAAGAGGAAATGGCTGGCACCTCTGAAACTGAGGTGAAGTCTGTTGTATTTAAATGCTTCATTTTGCGAATTCATTTTTCAAACTGATTTTCCTACAAAACTAACAAAAACATTGCTATTTTGAAGATACTTTGTTTATAATAATCCTTTGTCTTACCTTGAATATGCCTCACTGAACTTAATGGTTACTTCTGAACAGCCATGTAAAGGACTGCATTGCCAATCAGCTGCTTGTAGCAAAGTGACTTTCTCACAGCTCAGATGGAAAAATGGAACTCCAGATGACAAGTGGGTGTACACAACACAACCTCTGAGCAGAATGAAGCCTTATGTTTCTTTATATCCTTTTTTTTCCTTACAACAAAATACTTTTTTTTAAATAGCACACAATGTACTTCTCAAGTTTAACCACAGTTTATGGTAATTAGTGAACACGCAAATCAATTCAATTCAGAGACATTATAATAACTGTAATTTTAGTCAGGATGGATTGCACTAAAATAAAATAATTAAACCTTGAGGCTGGATATAGGAAAACTCAATAGCAATGCACTAAAGGTTGTAGCCCCAAGCATCTGGAGCAAGGATGGATTCCAGCTTCTGTTATTGCTGGTTTGCTCAGGGATGCACTTCGTGTACATGCGCAGAAGCAAAAAACTAGATGGCGAAGCCTAAGCACCATCAATAGAACCAGTTTGGCGGCATGGCCAGCCGAGTTACTACCTACTAGGCCGAACCAATCCGAACCGGTAGGAACCCACCTCTGATCTGGAGAGTACCACGTTGATTGTGGCCATTCAGATTAGCAAAAGACAGAATACAATCTCTTCCCAATCAGTTAGCATATCAGTTCAGTTCCATGTCTCTTTAATCACAAATATAGCTTTGAAATGTATACAAATTTGGTAAAAGCCCTTCCTCCAATGCCACTGTTCACAAACTGATGGAGAACCATGTTGTCAAGGGAAAGATGCTTTGAGCCTATAGTGACCCTATATGATTTACTCATCTATATGATCCTGAGATAATATGAATGTATTATGCAGCAGGAATTTATGCAGAAAGTATCATAGTTGATTGAGGCAAATGCATAAGCATTTAGAAACTTGTCTGAATTCAACAGAGCCGATTTCCAACAGTACACTGGCTTGCTGTATTTGCTTTCCAAACCATCCAAAGGATAGATTTTTAGCAATAAGAAAAGAATTATCAGACTTCATCTAATCTTCATATTAAATTCCTTTTTTCTTGTCAAATATTTCCCAAAACAGGAAACAGGAATTTTACAAAAGCAATACATGTTGAACTTCATGCAATGTTTTCATGGTGCTTTAAAAAACGAGCCACTTGAGAATGTAGAGGAAGCTGTTGACTACAAACCAGAAGAACAAGTACAAGTCCTTTCAAGCTATGTTTATCATTATCGCAGAACACATAGCTTCATCTCCAAATGGAGACAGACTTGAAAATTGGCAGAAATAATTCCTTACCATTCATCTTAGAACACAGAACAAACATATGGCTATTTTTCTCTGTGGGTTGCCATCCCTGGCTTTGTCATCACCATGTATCTGATGTTGTTTTGTATATATAAATACATATAAATTGGTATAATCAATCATATTCATATCACTGAATATCTATGGAATATGCTGAACTTTAGGCACATGGAAGGACTTCAGAAATCCTATAATTCAACAATGACAATAGAAATAAATACAAACTTGTTTTGTTCTATGGGACGGATTCAAAACAAATGCTATAATAATATGATGGAATACAAGTATTCTTAAACTCATTGTTCTGCCCCCCCCCCCCAATGGATATGGTTAACAAACTATATTTGTACCTTATTTAGCATATTAATCCAGGGGATGTGGTGGCTCTGTGGCTAAGACGCTGAGCTTGTCAATCAGAAAGGTCAGCAGTTCAAATCCTTAGCGCTACATAACGGAGTGAGCTCCCACTACTTGTCCCAGCTTCTGCCAACCTAGCAGTTCGAAAGCATGTAAAAATGCAAGTAGAAAAATAGGAACCACCTTTGGTGGGAAGGTAATAGCATTCCATGCACCTTCAGCATTTAGACATGACCACGAAGACGTCTTTGGATAGCGCTGGCTCTTCAGCTTTGAAACAGAGATGAGAACCGCCCCCTAGAGTTGGGAACAACTAGCACCTGCGTGCGAGGGGAATCTTTACCTTTTTATTAATCCAGAGTTTGCCCTATATTTGTGAAACCATCATTTATAGTTTGTTAATTATATACTCATGGAAGAAGGCATTGGGTAACATTGAGTTCACCTATAACTACATTATGTGCCTTAACATGACATGCAAACAGAGTCACTGTCTGGTGTAATATTCCACATCTACTTTATTTATTTGAAGTTACATTCCCTTTCACATTAATTCTGCTCGAAGAAAAGGGAAGAGGGGAAAAGTTCGATTCCTCAAGAAAAAGTTAATTCATCTTTCTTGCCCAATAGTTATTCTATTTGTTTTTATTCTAGCGAAAGGCAGAATGCAAAACGTCACGTTGCTTTGAATTCTTAAAAAAAAAACCTCTCCTAAAAGCTAAAGTGGTTTATAGCTAATGAAAACCAGCAAGTTCTTACATTTTTAGTAATTAAAAGCTTTTCAAACTGGTCTGCAAAAGATTCAGATCTATAGTGTGTCGTGCATTTAAACTGAGTTTGATGTAGGATATTTTCCCCCATTCTCTTTTTAAAAAGATTCAGAGGAAGCAGGAATTTATACCACACCACATGTTTCATAGCTACCCTAAAAGCAAATAAGAGTTTGCAACAAGTACATCCAGCTACACAGTTCTTACTCATATACAGTAGAGCCCTATACACACCTCTTGGTTAAGGGCGTTTCTCAGATTAACAAGTTGCAGCTTCTCTCTGGTAAGACTTGCTTTTATTTAAAACATCCCATGGAAAACCACCTTTACCTTGTTTGTTAACCAAGTCTTCAAACTATTCTTTAACTTTCTTAATGTTTCCATAATTGTGTTTTCCTGCACACCTGCCAATATACGTCATACAGACTTCTTCACACCTTGCTTAATTAAAAAACCAGTTCTAGCCTTTTCACAGATCTTTGTCTTGCTCATATCTTTCGTGTACATACAATATGTTCATTTAACATGAAATAAGTGCATGTAGACTGAGGTCCAAGATATTTTCTTTGAATAATCCTTGGTAACTCGCTCTTGGCTTCAAATATTATAAAAGCTAGCACATCCCTTATGCATAGGATGTCCCTTATCTAATTCTGTGGCTAAAGGAAACATATAAAAATTATTTTGAGACAGAATCCTCCCACCAACCTTTGATAGCCCATCCAAACTTTTTGGAATATTATATTAATAAAATTTAAAAGGTTAGATGAAAATGTTCTAGTTGATTTCATAGAACTCCACAAAACAGTTCAAGCCGATGAACACCTGCATAAAATAAGAAGCCAATAAACACCTGCCTCTCCATCAACATTATTGTTAAATGTATACTTGAGAACTGAAGACGCAAGAAAATACAGGTAGTCCTTGACTTACGACTTGAGCCCATAATTTATGTTGCTAAAGGAGACATTTGTTAAGTGAATTTTTTTCCATTTTACAACCTTTCTTGCCAAAGTTGTTAAGTGAACCACTGCAGTTGATAAGTTAGTAACAGTTGTTAAGTGAATCTCATTTCCCCATTGATTTTGCTAGTCAAAAGGCTGCAAAAGGGAATCACATGACCTTGGGACACAGGAATGGTCGTAAGTATGAACCAATTGTCAAGTACCTGAATTTTGAACATATGGTTGTGGGGATACTACAAAGGTTGTTAGTGTGAAAAATGGTCATGAGTCACTTTTTTCAGTGCCGTTGTAGCTTTGAATGATTGATAAATGAACTGTTGGGACTACCTGTACCTATGTCGGGGAATGCGATCAATAAAGCTGGATACCTTTTCATTTTTTAAAATGGTGGGTGAAACATGAAGGAGACCCCATAAAAAGGGCAACTGAGAGGTTATGCACCAGAGACAAATTCTTTGTATGTCTAATCACACTTGGCCAATAAAGAATTCTAATTATTTTGCTACCTCCCACCCCTAGTTACTACCATCGGTTCCATGGTGTTTCCAGGCAAGCAGTAACCACTAATTATATTCTCTATAGGCCCTCATAATACATATTAAAAGACTTGTCTGACTTCCAGGAGATCAGAAGATCACCCAAAACAATTACTTCAAACCACCAGCTCCCTACTCCCACAAGATACCATTTTCTCCTGCTCTATATCTTGCCAAAGAGGGAAGGGCTTATTTCTCTTCAGGGTCATTCTTATCCTGCCTCTTGAATTAATGGTTTAAAAACAGGTTCCTCGAAACATCAAGCAAAGTAGGTCACCTAGTCTCTCTTAGGTTGCTGTTCCACATTGAAAATCAGCTTATTTCCCAAGTTTAATGTAGCCTGCTAATTTTACAACCAACCTGCATATACTAGAAATCCCTCATAGTCAATCCAGTTTTTTTCAATTTCAGCAGCAGATATTCAAGCTACAACAGACTCCTAAATACTTTGGCAAGAGAAGACAGCAAGGTGTCTTCCAGAAGTTCTGGATTACAGTTCTCACAATTCCTTATTATATGGCTAGGGCTGAAAGAAATAGAAGTCGAAATCTTCCAGAGTACATCAGGATGAGTTACCAGTTTCGGTTCTTGTCTCTGACTCATCATCTACCTGATTGTCTTGAAGCACGCCTTCCTGTAACCATGTGTAGCTGCAGTCTCTAACAACAATAGACTCCAGCTCTGTCTCCACAAACTACATTATGGGCTCACACATGATATGAAAGCACAATGTTATTTAAATGCTGTGTCAAATTAACCCCATACATGATGCTGAACAAAAACTGCTCAAATCATGTTATTAAAGTATTTGTATTCCAAGCAGGGAAGAGCACTTTGAGTGTGGTGTAAGCAGCTGACAGTGTAACATAATACTTATGCCAGAATTGGACCCAAGTACTATACATCTCTACACAACATATTTTGATAAAATATGTGAAGATGTTTTTGCAGTGAAGATTGTTTTTACCGTGTTTGCTATAATAGATAATTCCCTCTCTATTTTTGTGCCAAGTAAAACTGCATGATATCACTATAAATTGGAATTACCACACAGGATTAATCTTTTCTTCTCAGCTGCCTCCCACTTCTGTGCCATGGAAAGTTTTTATGAGAAAAGGTTAAGCCTCCCTCATCTTACACATTCTCTATGAAATAAATAAAAAATATAGATAAAAATATCTTTGATATACAGAGTCATTTTCAGGTAACTATGTTCTGAAGCAGTTTCTCTATCCCAGCGAATTATTAATAAAGGGGAAGTTTTAAGCTTTTCATTATTTATAATAGCCAAACATTACACAAAAATTGCTATTTTAGCATATTTAAGATTACTTCAATATTTTAATATCCCATATTTGGGCAATTATGTAAATTAACAGCTGCCAAGTATTTTAGACTTCCTTTAATATTTTATCACTTTTCTTTTTTTCTTATGAACTTTGTAACTTTTTATGAAAATCTGTACAATTTAATTTCAAAAATGTAAAAAATAATAATAGAGATGATTCAGTACCAAAATGTGTTACTCAAGAAATCAAAAAAATAAAATAACCCCTATCAGCTGAGAAAAATTGCTAAAGATGACTCAATATCTCCCTCCCCCCCCCGAACTATAGGGGTAGGGGGTGGGGAAGCAAGTCTAAAACAATCTTATGATGTGGTACGATACTATTATGGCTTTTTAAAATATTCAGATTAAATAACCATTAGATTTCTTTTTCTCTAAACTACATAATGGCCAATCCAAAAGAAATGTAGGAAAACAGTTACAGTCGCTGGTCTTTCAATTTTTTCAAAAGCAGTTTTAAGAAGGCACATACTGGATAAAATTGCCTTTTGTACTCTTTTCTTTGTTGTATCTATTCCTTTTAAGCTGTTATCTACCACAGTAGAGAACACATAAATATTAAATAAAATTACCTAGGTTCTAAAGTAATATGAATAGATAGTTTTATTTTTGTATAACACAATGAACCACACATCAGTCTATCATTGTTTGGTTTACATCCCACAAATAATTCAGGGTGGCAAACATACAATACAGCTTCCTATGTTCCTGACAACAACCTTGTGAGGTGGGTTGGGCTGAGAATGACTGGCCCAAGGTTACTCAGCTGGCTTTCATGGTTAAGATGGGACCTCAACTCATAGTTTCTTGCTTTCTAGCGTGGCACCCAGAGGTGGATTGCTCCCGGTTCGTCCGAACCAGTAGTAGTGGTGACAAAAGCCTCCGCCCACCTGCCCAGACGGTTCTGCACATGGCACGAGCGAATCAGTAGTAAAATGTGGAAACCTACACTGCATGGCGCCTTAACCACTACACCAAACTGGCTCTCAGTTTGGTTAGTTCTCAATTTGTGTAAACTAGCCAATGTAGTAACCAATTGGGCTAATTTCACTAACCATGATTCACCATGAATATTGGGTCAGCTTGTCATACAAATACAGACTTAGTGTAGGAAAACAGCAGGTAAGCATTTGCATTCCACATCAATCCCTATGGCTTCTTATAAAAGAAATTGAATAGCTAATTATGGGTCTCCAATATCTTATTTGGTTTAGTCCATCAGTGTTAATTATAATCTTGCAGTTCTTTATGTGGCTTTATCCACAGTATTTTATCAGAAGGGGAGGGGAACACAAGTCTTCCCTCCTGAAAGTAAAATGCTGTTACTACCTATGAGGCAGAAACAAAGAGAACTCACCATTTGATCACTAGAATCCATCTTGATGGACTTCACTTTTGGAAATTCCAACTGCTGCCCATTACCGCATACATCATACATAGCCTTTTTTCTGACAATACATTGATGTTTATTAATCCCTGTTATTTAAATAATGACTTGTAGCTACTAACGTGGAGTTTGACTTGATGTAAAGGCTTGTGTCTTGCTGTGACTTATATTTTAAATTTTATTTTCTAAACTAACATTTGCACATTTTCTCTATTTATGTGAATATCAAAGGTTTCCGATTGTGCCAGTGAAGAGCAAGGACTTTATTATACCTGCTTCATAAACACTGATTTTCTTTGGGGACCTTCTAAGTCTGTTTGCAGATTTCTAAAATGAAAATGGATTAAGGGGAAAATTATCTTCTTATTTTTCCAAGGCTATTTGAAATGACAAGTTACATTTTCTACAAAATTAAAAATCCTGGACTGGAGCGATAGGATATGTATTATTTGCTTTTGTAAAAATAAATTATATATTAAAAAATAATAACTAGATTCTTCTAGACTAGTTATTGCATAGAAGTATACACAATAGAAAATTCAAGCATGTTTTCTATGAAATCAATATATACAAGTTTGCATATTTAAACTTTAAAAAGCTCCATAGGAATCGGGTCACCAATATTTCAAGGAATAGTTTGCACACTTATTTAAAGGGGACCTGATAACTACTTCCAATAATCCTAATCTGAACTGCAAGCTTCCAGTAGTAATATTTTTTACCACAACACATAGTTATAGTGTAAACAAGAATAGTGATTATGTACAAACGCAGCCCCTATATTAACTGAGAAGCTGAAAACACCAAGATCAGATTCTACTCTCCATAAACAAAGTGTAGATATGTACTAAGATTACAGCATATCTGTTATTAATTTCAAGGAATTTATACAGTATTAATACATTTTGTCCGTCAATATACAAGCCATACCAGTAATTTGTAAAAACCAAGCCAATAAAAACTTGTGAAAGGAAGCTAAGAGCTAGAAAAGTTTGTTATGGATCACATCCAGGTAAGAAATTATTAACAACAACAACTGGATTTTTTTCCTGAAATTTTATAAAATTGGATGTTATTAATTTTAATTGTTTCTAAAAATATCAAGAGATTTCAAAATAAGTGAATATGATGGAACATAAGGAAAATATGCAAGACCAATACTCATAACTTTTATCCAATAAACATTTTGACCCATCTCTGGTAGTACATGATAAAGTCAGAATTTGGAACTACATTCAAATGCTTACAGTATAAGGTAATGCATATAAATATCATGACATTCAGAGGTAACACTGGATATTCAATTAATATTTATCTAGACAAATAGCTTAATGACTCCCAGCTAGATTCACATTTACATCATGTAACCTGATGCATTTCTTTATGCAAAGAACCAAACCTCTTCTATATACTAAGTAAGTATTATGCAATTGAAATAAAGCCAGTTTTGTTTTATAAAGCAAATTGGTAATATTTTACTTGCATGTCAAGTATTATAAAAATTACAACAGGCCACTATGCCTTAATTCTAAACATATTTCCATCTAGCTCACTGATGCAGACTTCATTTATGTCTTCCACATGTTCACATTATATATACATTCATGTGTATTTTAGATGTACTTATGTACAGACATGTGCGTGCATCAATTTTGTTCCATGATCATACTAATTATATCTTTTGGGAACAAGTGCATAGGAAATATCTTCCACATAATATGGCTTTTCTGCAGCTACTATATTAATGTAACGCAAAAACTTAAATGAGCATATCACATACTTCCTTTTATAGCATAGTCACTAACACAAATGAGGGAACAGTTTTCTTTGAATTATCCCACCTTTTCTCCAGGAACAAGGCTTGATGCTCCTTTCTCCAATTTCTCCCAACCACTTTGTGAGAAAGAATGACCTGAAAGACAATGATTGGCTCAAAGTCATCTAATGACCCTTGGCTGCCCATCTTCCCATAGGGTAACTCTGGCTTAAGTAACTTCTAAGTTAAAACATAAAAAGTTACAATCAAACATTAAAACCAAAGACACATGGGGAGAGCGGGGGCAGTGTGCGGGAGTATGAGAGATCTGTTATTACTCAGTCAACTACCACCATTGCACTGTTCCCCCTCTGGGGTACCAAGTCAACTGGCGAGCCAGATCTTTATGCCCTGACGAAAAGATATGAGGATTGGAGCTAACTTCAGATCAGAGCAGGGAGGGGGGCAAGATTTACCAGAGGGCAGGACAACAGCAGAGAAGGTCCTCCTCCTGGACCCTGCTAGGTGGATTAATAGGGTTGATAGGAACCGCAGCATGCCTCCTCTGCCAACACAAGTAGTACAATCTCAGTGGGGTCAGACAGACCCACAAGTAACTTGGACCCATAAAGTTTCTGGAACTTTACTCGCAAGGAAGCAGAATAAAATGGCAAATCTTATAGCCGCTTTCTCTAATCCCACAGCCTTTGGGATGCTCACCTGGCATGGAGATAATTGGGAAGAGAACTGATATTTGTATCTACATTCATTGCAAAGGACAGGATTACAAGAGAATAAGCATGCACACAATGGCGAAATCACATAGACAGAAATGCCCTAACTGCTTAGGAGCCCCCCCCCCAAAAAAAAATCCTTCAATGTGAAATTAGGGTCAGGCAGCAGTATCAGCCAGCTGGAGGTTCTATTCAATTAGCAATTAAGGTCACAGAGCTCAGCTTGTTAATTCTTTAGGTGCTGCACTGAAGAGAACAGCGGCCCATGAAGAGTTAGCTTCTTTAATGACTCTCTCTAGTGAAAGGAGGGGGGAGAAAAAGGTACGGGATTGATAGTAACGGCAAACACGTGACTGAGAGATGTTGATCAAATTGTAAATATGGGCATTGGTCAAAAAATTGCCGTTTCATCATTGCTGTAACTGTAAAAACTCGCTTACTGACATAATTGCTAAACTAGGACTACCTGTATAAATAATCAGTATCGAAGTTGTAAAGGGAGATGAGTAGTTAAGAAATATGAAATATAAATAAATACTTGGTGAGATTCATGCATTCCATATAAATAATATCCTGATTATTAAGTCTGTATGCCACTTGAATCTCAATGACTCTCAGCTTTTTCTTTACTTCTGCTTTCTTATCTTTGAATAATGTTCTTTATAAAAATTTCTCCAGGAAACTATATGAAAAGACACGACACTTTAGCATATCAAACTGCTGTGTGATCTTCATTTCTATCAGTAAGCTCATGAATAAAGAAATGTTAAACTTTGGAGAACCTAATATTGCTAGAACTAAGCATCTGCATATTATATAATTGTTTTTATATTATAAAACAGAATTAGAAAGCGGAATTGTTAAATAATGAAAGTGTGTTAACTGGGTGACAGCCTTAAGTTTGTTCTTCTCAGAAGTGATGCTTTTCTGAAGACATTTAAACTCTCATTTGTTTGAAATGGTAGGGTCTATATAGGGCAGTGATGGCTAACCTTTTTGCCATCGCGTGCCAAAAGCGGGAGGGGGGGGACTCATGCATGCATGTGCCCACACCCATACGTGACCCCCCGTGCGACCCCCGCTTTTGGCATGCAATGGCACAGTGACCCATTTTTTGCCCTCCCCAGGCTCCAGACCCTTTCTAGGAGCCTGGGGAAGGTGAAAAAGGCCTTCCCCAACCCCTGGAGGCCCTCCTGAGGCTGAAAATGGCCTGTTTGCCAACTTCCGCTTGGACCAAAAGGCTATTTTTCACTCTCTCCCATCTCCAGAACCTTTCTAGGAGCCTGGGTAGGGCAAAAACAGCCCCCACCCTGGAGGCTGGAAACAGCCCATTTGCCGACTTCTGGTGGGCCCAAAAGGCCCAAAAATCAGCTGGCTGGTGCGCTCATAGGCACTGGAGCTGAGATCATATGCCTGCCGATATGGCTCCATGTGCCACCTGTGGTACGTATGCCATAGATTCGCTATCACAGTTATAGGGGGTTAGACTAGAAGACCTCCAAGATTCCTTCCAATTCTGTTATTCATTGAACAGCCCGGCACCACTAAGTTTTTTATTCAGTTTTCCTAAGTGAGAGCACCTAAAATGGTAAATAAGTATGACCTTAAAATATTTCCTTTTATTAATCAAACAAAACTTTAACCAACTTTTTCATAATTCTGTAATTCTTGTTTTGAGATATAATCCTATGCATTTTAGTGAAATTTATTCCGGGAAGGGGGGGGTGTCTTCAGAACAGAGTAAGCTGTTTTCTAGATTGATACACTTAATGACTGAAACTTACCGCTAAATTGTTAAGCCTAAGCAATTATATTCTTTTAGAATTGAATATTTAGATTTCTTTTAAAAATTATCTATCAGCAATTCAGTAATAAGCAACTTTGGACAACTACCGGTAGGATAACATTGAGACTGAGATCACATTACCACAAAAAGCAAAAACAAGCACAAAATACAGACACATTATAAATCTTGGCTAAGAAATGTGTGATCCATACAGAAAGTGTGTCTGTCTGTCTGTCTGTCTATCTGTCTGTCTGACTCTCACACATTCAAAATTCATATGAAGTTTGTGTATCATTTGCAAGATATTACTGTGACATTATTATAACATGTTATGTTATATGGTCAATAGTTTATAATCATGTGTGATAGTTAACCCAAAATATTAAACTATAAGGCAATCTCTGTAGCAGGGATGAACAAGTGGTATTCTAAAAAAAGCTTTACCTCAGAATATGTATCTTTATGATGAAATCCCTTTAAAGCCTAAATCAACCTGGCTGAAAATAATTGACAAAAGGTTAATTTCCCAATTTCTTCCTTCTTAATCTACCTCATCTCTCCCCCAAAAGTCTAACAAGATATTTATCTAATTTACTGAATAAAGAATTAAATTTCTATACCACCAAAGCAACCTACATTTCTGTCACTTTACAGTGAGGAATAGCAAAGCACCTACAATGTGCAATCAAGAATTGTATCATAATTATCATTCTCTCCTGTTTGGCGTCCCTATTATAATTATTTTTAAGTATGATTGTTTTATGTATTTGTTTTTTAATTACCATAAATGTTATATGCTGCCGAAAGTCACTTTCATGCAAGATGAGCAGTTATACAAATATGAGAAATAAATAAATTTAAAATCTCTACAAGTAAGGGACCTTTTGAAAACGCGGAAGAGGACAAATTTGGTCTTCCCTCAAAACATTGCTGAAACTCCTCCCACACCATTCAAAAATCTTGAATAAAATGATATATTTTAGAGGTCACAATTGGGCACAAGGGAAGAAGCAGATGAAAATCTCTGTCTATTAACCTTCTTAAACTAGATAGGACACATGTTAGGCATAAAATAAAATAACAGTTTACCATTTTATATTCACAGAGCTCATTTCCAGAACCACAAGAGTTAGATTTATTTTTGTACTACAGCTCCCACGTAGAATAATTCTAAAAATACTCCTCTCATCATAGTTATAATATGCAAAAACCACTAACCACATCCCCATTATGTGTTTTTAACAATCGTATTGTTAAAATTACGTTTAGCAATTATACGTTTTACAGTTACAAAGGCACTTAAAATGATGATATATGAAATCCATTTACATGACAACAGAAGGAATCCAAATATGTCACTCCTTTACACAGCAGTCACTGTTGGGGGGGGGGGCGCAGGAGATCACCCTTTTCATATGCCTACATAATGAAAGGGAAACATATGGATGTAAACGAGTCTTTTGATGTAGGGTTGCAAATCATTTCAAGCTTTTGCAATCATAATCTGGTGGCATACATCAAGAGAATCATGTGTATGCAATATAAAGGTCTCTGCAGGAATCCATTTCCTGTATCATATTAAAAGCAATGGCTTGCAAATCTATTGAAGTCTCTGCAAGAATCTATTTCCTGGATCACATTAAAAGCAATGGCTTGCAAATTGAGTGTCCAGTGTCCTTCCCAGGAACAGAGCAAATCCAGAAGAAAGTAACTTGGAAATTCTCCCTTCCCCATAGATCACATTTACTGTAGGTGGGTAAACTAGCAAGGACAAGGCTGCAAGTCTTAATTTTTCCACTTTTAAGCTTGTAATTGTAATAGTGATGCTATTCTGTTCTTCTTCTATTAATAGGCCAATTGGGATCCATTTATTTTATAAATAAATGCTTCAAAGGGAAGAGCTCTTGTTCAAGTGTATTCCTTTCCCCAAATATCCATTTCCATCCTCTTTTCCCACTGCATATAAATCACTCAGGACCACTGAACAGGGTCAGTTTTCATTTGAGTGTTTGGGATGGAAAGGTTCTTGCACTTCTAAAACTTTGTAGAGTTCCTTTAAATGTATTTATAATGCCTTTTATAGAAGTGATGATGTCATTTTTGCTAGGATTAGTCATTTTAAATTGCACAAAATCAGCATTATAGTATAAACAAGCTGGTAAGTAGATGCCATTCACTCCCACAAACTAAAAATAATGCAGCTGTGAGTTGGGATGAGTGTTCTACGGCTGTATATGCTGATAAATCAATTACCTGCAATACTACTACTGTGCAATAGGAACAATATAGGTCAAAAGAACTGTTGTATCCCCTGGCAATGGAAGGAATAAAGAATTCCTACAAGCAAGTCTTTTTCTACAGATGACAAGAGAATGTACTGCTCCCTGTAATACACAAACTTCTCACAATCATAATAATGGAAATTTCCCAAGGTACCATATGTATAATTATTTGGTTTCAGATTTTCTATACCTGTTATTTCTAGGATGACACCATCTTTTTAAAATATTTAATAGATTATACCCTATTTTTATACTTCCATCAATTCATTTTGTGTTTAGAAAGTTTTCAAAGGCTTTTTAAAGTTCTACATCTGGAAAACATCAAATAAAACCTAGTTTTAAATATTAATATAC